CCGCGGGACCATCACCAAGAAGGGCTCGGCGAAGCGGGACCTGGAGCTGGACCTCCAGCTGGTCCGCAACGGGCTGGAAAGCAAGTCCCGGTTCCGCGCCGCCATGCAGAAGATCCACGACACCCTGGCGGCGGCGGCGGCGGCCGGACAGCACGGCCGCGTCTGGCTGGCGGGCCACTCGCTGGGCTCGGCCATCGCGACGTTGGGCGACAAGACCCTGGTCAGGGCCCGTGGAGCGGATCGGGGACCGGCGGCTGAGGCAGGGCATTGGCGGCGATGGCGGCTTGGATGCCGAACCTGTTCGTGAACCCGGCGGACCCGATCAGCGCCGAGGACGTGGGGTACTTCGACCACCGCAGGAAGATGGAGGCCATCGGGGCCGTCGCCGTGGGGAGGCTGGCGACGAGGAACTCGGTGAAGGACCTGCTGCTGGGCATTGGGAAGGGTGGAAGCGGCTGCGAGCCGCTGCACCTGTTCCCGTCTGCCGTGCTGACGGTGAACCGCGGGCCGTCGCCGGACTTCAAGACGGCGCACGGGATCCACCAGTGGTGGCGGCCCGACCTGTCACTGGAGTGCACCGCGCATTACTACACTTGAACCTTGATCATGCGTGGTGTTGGAGATCCAAGACACAAGAGTGTATTGGAACTGCGATGTTTTCATCAGTTTATTAACTGGGGTTGCTCCGTCCTCGTCTGAATTTTGATTGAAGCGACAAAGCTAGAAGTGTAACTTTCCAAACATCGTCCCCTTCGTCCGTTGAAGACTTGGAGTTGTGATGATGATTTTATATAACTTAAAAAAAATCAAATTTTCCATGCGAGGAAGCATAGATAATGGCTGCTTTCGACTACAAGGTGTTGGGTGCGTATGTAAGGCAGCTCTCCTTTGTCGCTCGCGCAACAGCCTTTGTCGTTCTCTGCGTTGTGCGCGACGATGCCCTGGTCCCTGTCACGCATCGGCGAACTGACGCACAAGTCTCGGAGGACCCCTACGCCCACGAGCTTCCGATCCAAAGAGAAACACGCGCTTGTTTGGGTCCGGACTGTGATAGGTACAAAACCGCGTGCGCGAGCCAGCTTCGAAAATCCCAACACCAACAGGGCCGTCGTCTCGTGATCGGCAGTCCGGCTCGTAAACGAAATCTCCCGCCAACAGCGGCCGAGTCCGAAGGCGCGACGGGCAGGTTCCAGGGCCATAAAACGCAAGCCCCCGGCGCGGCGAGAGGCACAAACACACGACAAATCCAGCACACGCTGCACGCATCGGAGATCATCGCGAGGGAGCTAGCTAGTTGGGCGACGCACTGCACAGCATGGGGCAGCGGCTCAATCCGGTGACGTGGCTCCTCGCCGTCGTGGTCCTAGCCCTTTTCGCCACGCCGGGCGCCGCCGCGCAGGTCAAGACGACCGACACGCGCTGGAGCTTCCACCTCCCGTTACCCAGCGGCGTCAGCGGCGCCGAGAGCCTCGCGTTCGACGGCAAGGGCGAGGGGCCCTACGCGGGCGTCTCGGATGGCCGCGTCCTCAAGTGGGGCGGCAGCGCCGTCGGCTGGACCACGTTCGCGCACAGCGCGAACTACAGGAAGATACCCCTGTGCACGGCGGGCGTAGTGCCGTCGGTAGAGACCGAGAGCATGTGCGGCCGGCCCCTGGGCCTCCAGTTCAACTTCAAGACCGGCGACCTCTACATCGCCGACGCCTACTTGGGGCTCATGAAGGTCGGACCGGGCGGCGGCGAGGCCGAGGTGCTCGCGACCGGCGCGGACGGCGTCCCGTTCAACTTCGTCAACGGCCTCGACGTCAACCAGGCCACCGGCGACATCTACTTCACGGACTCGAGCACGACGTACCCGAGGAGGTTTAACACGGAGATCATGATGAACGCGGACGCGACGGGGCGGTTGCTCAAGTACGACGCGCAGACGAAGAGGGTCACCGTGCTCAAGGCCGGCCTGCCGTACCCGAACGGCGTGGCCGTCAGCCGCGACGGCGCGCAGGTCGTGGTCGCGCACACCGTGCCGTGCCAGGCGTTCAGGTACTTCCTCCGCGGCGCCAGGGCGGGACAGTACGAGCTTCTGGCGGACCTGCCGGGCTACCCGGACAACGTGAGGCGGGACGGCAAGGGTGGCTACTGGGTGGCGCTGAACCAGGAGAAGCAGCGGCTGGACGCGATTCCGGCGACGGCTCCCGCGAAGCACTTGGTCGGGGTCCGCCTGGACGCCCACGGGGTGGAGGTCGAGGAACTTACGGCGGCCAAGGGTGTCACACTGAGCGACGTGGCGGAGAGGAGGGGGAAGCTGTGGCTGGGCTCCGTGGAACTCGAGTACGTCGGTCTCGTTGCTTGAGCGGCTGTGTGGCAAACTGCCAAGTGCCAACGTTAGCTATGGTCATGTTAGCAGGATTAGGAATTAGGAATTGGATTAGCAAGTACTAGCTGTTAGTTTCATGTCGTCCCATGTGGATTTAAACAGATCCTTATGTATTCTTTTTATTTATATATTGTGTTTATTATATTTTTATTATATAGACCGTTTGACATGTACTGTTCTTTTATTAATTGCATCAAAATTTCTAGACTCTAGAACTTTTTTTACCACTTGTTGTATTAATAGATACCGTAGATGAGTTTCCACCGTGACGCGAAAAATGTGAAGCTTTTTTTTGTCAAAAATAAAGGAGTGTGAAAGGTGAAAAAACTTGCACTGCTGTATTATGAGGCAACCCAGCAAAAGATCATTGGACTCTGCCGGATTTTATAACATGTAATTAATCACAACATCAGCTAATACCTAAACTTCTCCATGCGGCAAATTGGCTCCATTGGCTCCCCAAGTAGCAATCCCTTTTGAATCAGTCCTCGTTTCTGATCACTAAACTGGACATCCGTTTGGCGTGAAACCGATCCTTCCCCTCTCCACATCAAACACAACACCGAAGCCTTGTTGCTGGACGTTGCCGAGCACGTTGAGGCCATCGTCCGCCGCCTGGAGCCCTAGGCAGAAATATGTCCGGCGATCCCCGCCCTGCACGGGGATGAGGTAGTTCGCCTGAGGCAGTGCCATGTCCGCACCACCGGCGAAGTGCAGCACGATGCTGGGGACACGAACAGCAGTTGCGGGCCCACCGTTCCCGCGGAGGTCGTAGCACGTGTCGAACACTGAGAATTTGGTGGCCAGCTTCCGCATCCCGGCCGCTGCCGCGTGCGAGTCGAAGGCGTCGCGCACCGCCGCGTACGCGTCCCGGTCGAACCGTGAGATGGCCGTGCCAGAGTCTACCACGATGCCCCCACGCCCGGTCGCCGGGTTCAGCGCGAGGCTGCCGCTGGAGAATCCGGTCACGCGCTCGCCGCCGACGCTGAAGCCGACCATGTCCACGTAGTAGAGGCTGGGCCGCCGCGGGTTCGTCCGCAGCGGGGTGAACGCCGTGGACGGTAGCTCCGGCGTGCGGCCGAACACGAGGTACGAGGAGCTGTTCTGCGCGCGGGACAAGCGGTCGCCGAAGCAGTACGAGAAGACGTGCCCGTAGGCCGGCGCCAGCTGCGTCGGGAAGGACAGCTGGCCCCGCCCGACGCCGAGCAGCCCGGCCGCCGACTCCAGCAGCCCCTCGTTGTCGTGGCCGCATCCGAGCGTGACGTTGTGGACGTGCGTGTCGTTGGGGAACACGAGCCTGTCGGTGGCAAGGTCGCCGCTGGACGCGGAGCCGTCGCCGTACACCACCATGTACACGCAGCCTCCGGTGCGGGCGTCGCAGCCGGGGTAGCGGAGGACGTCGCGGCACCGCGGCGAGGCGCAGGGGATCCGCCTGTGCGTGCTGGAGCTCCGCGGGTCGTAGAGCGGGGTCACCTGGCGGTAGCAGTGGCGGCAGGGCGCGCACTGGAGCCAGATGAGGTCGCTGCCAGTGTCGATGACGACGAGCGCGCGCGTGGGCGGGTCGCCGACTTTGATGACCGCGAAGTACTCGCCGCTGTCGAAGGGACACCCGACATGACGGGGAGCGGAGCCGGTCGCCGTCGTCGTCGGTGATCGAGTGGAAGGACGCCAGCTGTGCGGTGTAGGGAGCGGCATGGCGGCAGCGGCGGAGGCTGCCCGGTGGGGCGCCGCGCCGGGGTGGGAAGACTGCGTCTCGGTGGACGACGGGGATGTGCAGCGTTTTTGGTCGTTGGGTGGCGTCAGCGGTGAAGGTGACGAGGACGACGAGGAGGAATCGTAGCGGAAGAGCGTCGGGCGACGCCATGAGGGGCACGATGGCGCGAAGTGGTAGACCGGTGAAGAGGCGGGCCGGACGTGCTAAAGATGGCCGATGGAAATTCTTCGTGTGCAGCATGCGTTTAAAATCTTTTCCAATTATACACTACGCCTGGTGTAAGTTTTCAGTTATGATATGAATGCTACTGGCTTTGTTTTAATTTGAAACACCCCTTGTGTTTATTAAACTTCAGTTTCCTTTAAAACCGTACCCTCCGCTATCATCAAAACAAGATAGTGCTCTGCTCTGGCATCTCAGCAATTGCAGACGACAGAGTTTGGTCCGAAGATGGTGCTTCTCTGCTCTGGCATCTCAGCAATTGCAGTCCGGCCAGCAAAGCATACGTCGGATAATCAGATGGTGTTTATCTCTCAACGCGGAGGCATCGCCGAGCTCACGATTTGTTCACCAAAGTTGCAAGTGCCAGTGGACCCCCGCCCCCCCCAAACCCGAAAACGGCCCCGGGAAATATTCCAGAAAAGGGATCCCGCTTGGACGACTGACGGAACACGGGCGCAAGGCATGCCCGAGAACGGCCCGGGAAATATTCCAGAAAAGGGCAGGATTATACAGTAAATTATTAGCTCATCATTTCTCGTCCACCGAGATTAATATAGTTCCACAGCATCAAGATTCAATAGTACTTCCAAGTAACAAAACGTTGTATCACTAACACCGATTCCATAATATTCGTCGGCAAATGTGGATTAATGTGGTTGCTAATGCTAGAAGTAAGGCAGGCATTCAGAGGTTTCAGACATGGTAGCCCGTGACAGTAAATCCTCTACCGACGATCTCACCAAGGCAGAACCATGCATACAACTCGATGCCAAACATCGCTGCAACACCAGCATCCTCAACCTTCAGATTGCTTCTGTTCTTCCACAGGAGCTTCACACCATCAAGCTCTTTCCAGAATGACTCGTAACGACCAGGAAGGCTGCAAGAAACACATATCCAGTGTTAAAATTTCTGACGAGAGCACAATATACAAAATGCATAATTCTCAAATCGCGTGTTGTGAAAAAGTGTCTAAAATGCAGCAGTACAGCTTCATTTATTATTTAGGACTTGTTTAGTTCCTCCCCTAAAGATTACTCCCTATCCCATCGAATGTTTGACACAGGCATGGAGTATTAAATATAGATTAAAAAAATAACTAATTGCACAGTTTGCGACTAATTTGCGAGATGAATCTTTTAAGCCTAATTAGTCCATGATTCGACAATGTGGTGCCACAGTAACAAATGTGCTAATGATGGATTAATTAAGCTTAATAAATTCGTCAAGCGGATTACTAACAGATTCTGTAATTTGTTTTTTTTATTAGTATCCGAACACCCCATACGACACCCTCATGTGACACCTGATGTGACACCCCAAAACTTTACACCCTGGATTTAAGCAAGACCCTACTTCTGTTTGTGAAACAAGCACCGGCTACATAGCCATTGAACATAAATTCAGGATATATGCATCCAGAAATCAATATTGCCAGGTTCCCCAATAGTTCATGTAGGTGAATTCCACTGACTGTCGTGACGTCCACCATCTTGGTCTAATACTTAGAATTTAACTAGCAAGTGAGCCTTCTAATATATTTCAAACATATTGTAGGCCTCCAACATTAGATCAAAACATATCGTTGATATCAAACTCAGCATGGGTGGCTAGCAGACAACAATAAATAATTTGACTGGAGTTATACATGAAACTTCAGTTGACATAAAAAGTTTAACAGGCAGGCAATTTATACAGCAGTAATTTCCTATGCAGACAAAACATCATGCATGTTACCCTAAATAAACAAGCAAGCACACCAAATCTTCTATTAGTTCAGCAGATGTAATTCAAACAAGAGGCAATAAACATGATTGATCAATCTCAATGTGGTGTAAGAGACATGATTCATCCAAACGTGTTATGCATTTCTTTTCTGATAACCAAATGCAAACTGCGTGCCACAAAAACTAGGACTCACACTAGTTAATAGAAGACAAGAAATCCTAAATTTTTTTGTGCCACTAAATTAGCATGTCACAATGATTAGGTGGGCTCTGGAATTGTTAATGTCTATTTGTGCGATGGAACCAATCAATTGCGTCTAACTCTAACCCAACATGGCCCAATCATATAATTTCATCAGATAAGAATACTTCAAGGCATCTAATAAGCACTTTGGGATCTTATATCAATACAAAAACCTAAACGATACTTGGTCGATCCATATAGGTTTTGCTGCAATTCTCAAGAGGCCTCCCATAAGCCCATATAACAGTGTTGAATCCCAATTTAATCATTAAACCTCCCATACGATCTAGAAGCTAACAAATTAACAATGCACACCACAAAAACCCTACAAAGGTGTTTCCTCCAACAGTTCGATACAATTCTAGTTACTAGATAATAATTTCAGTAATTTACACAGATTCTGTAGCACATACATTGACTCCAAGTTGCGTTGACACAAGCATCATGAACAACCTAGTAGATGCCCAGTGTTGCAGCGAAAGAGACAGAATTGATGAACCTCAATGTGTTGGAAGAGACATGATTCATCCAAACACAGATATCCAAAGCCTTCCTCTATGCTTACTGTGATAGCAATATGCAAATTGTGACATCACAGAATAGAATCCACGGTAGTTAAACCACCTGAATCATAAAGTTTTGGGTGCTACAGTGCTACTAAATCAGCACATCCCAAGTATTAGGCGGATTGTGAAATTCCTGATTGTCTACCCAGCACTACATAATTAAATAAGGTCATCAAACGATAATGGTGCTTGCATTGGTCAGACCCAACCCATACATGCGCCCTCGAACCTCCTCAGGAGGCCATAGATAAGCTACCATATCTAAAGGAGCAACTTCAGAATCCATCACGACGGCCAAATCTCCCATCTAAAAGCTGAAAAATTGATATACTGAGATTCACATGAGTACGCGCCAGAACTCTACAAAGCGTATCCTCCTCCTCTGTCCTATCAGAGTTGGTGGCGCGGGGACGAGAAGGAGCACTGACCTGGCGAGTCGGGTGTAGAAGAGCTGCTTGGAGAGCTCCTGGCACTTCTCGATGGTGGGAGGGTCGACGACGTAGTGCTTGTTCTTCTACATGAGCGTCTTGTGGTACGAGCATCCGTGTTTGGCCACCATCCTCGTGGCCTCGCACGCCTTGGACTGCAGTTGCGCCAGCTTCGACCCCAGCGCCGCCATGGAATGTGCCGCCGCCGCTGCTCACGGTTCGGAACGGGGCAATGCGGGTCAGAAGAAGAAAATTACAAAGGGGAAGAGAAAATTCCGGTGGTCGGGAAGCGCTTTGAGTCTACCTTCTGATTGTGGCCGGTGGTTTGAACGAAGGGGATGCAGAGATCCGAGGTGAGGGCACGAGTTGGAACTTGGGAGAGGCGGCTGCGAGGGGACTGGACGGGAAGGGGACAGGAGGGGTTTTAGACCCTGTTTGGCACGGCTCCAGAGCCGAACTCCACCTCAGAGTCAGGTGGAGCTAGCAAAACACCCCAACTCCAAAAAATATTGGAGCAGCCCAACTCCATGGAGTTTTTTGAGCCCCAGTACAAATTTATGGAGCACCTCTTCTCCTGCTCCGAAACCAGCCAAAACAGAGGTAGACATAGAGTTGGGGTGAAATTACCCGCAATTGCCACTGGTTACACAAGTGAATCGTTATTTTTTCTATTCTCCCTGGCCCAACCCCTTCCCCTTCACGCGAGCGCCCACTCCCCCGACCCGACGCCCTTCACGCGAGCGCCCACTCGCCGTCGTCGCCTGTCGGGATTCGAGCAGGGCGGGCAGGCGCCCCCCCTCTCCGCCTCTCTCCCCGCCCCCCTCCTCCCTCTCTTCCCCGCCCCCTCCCTCCATCCCCCACCGGCGGCCGGCGAAGGAGAAGACAAGGAGAAGGTCATCCTCAACCCTAACCCTAGAGAAGGGGAAGAAGGGCGCCTCTCCACCCACCGGCGGCCGGCGAAGGAGAACAAGGGCGACGTGAAGGCACCCCCGACGCTCCCCCAACCTTGCAAGGTATCCCCATCCCCATCCCCATCTCTATGCTATGTGTTTTTTTTAAGAACAGTGAGTTCATGGTTTTGGAGAACATGATGTGTAGAATTGTCCTGTGCTAGGTCATGTTCTGAATTGTTGTGTTGAGTTGGTATAGATGCCGGAAATTGTTTGGAACGTAGAGAACCTTCGTATCCTTTGTGGTTTGATGGCTGAGCAAGTCGAGAAAGGAAACCGGCCAAATACTTTCTTGAATTCAGTGGGATATGCTGAGGTTGAGAAAGGATTCAAAGATCGGACGGGTATTGTATTGACCAAGAACCAAATCAAGAACAAGTGGGACAAACTGAAGGAAGATTTCAAGGCATGGAAAAAGCTAACAATGGGGCAAACATGAATTGGTTGGAATAATGGCACTATTAATATGGATGATGAATGGTGGAACAAAGCTAAAGCTGTAAGTGCTTGTTTTATGAATATCACCTACTTCTTAAATTAATTGATGGTGGAAGAAAGCTAGAGCTATAAGTATTTGTTCTAATATGTGTTGCTATTTTGCATATTTTCAGTCTATTCCAGGCTGTGGGAAATTTAAGAAGCAGCCACTTCAAAATGAAGAAGAGTTAGCAATTTGTTTCCAAGGCATTGTGAATGTTGGTTCTGATCATTGGAACCCTTGTGGTAACACTCCTACAGTGGCTGTGGATGATGTTGTTCGTGTGGATGATGAAGTTGTTTGCACTAGGTGCGACACAAGAAGAGGATTTAGATGAGATTACCCCTTCCCCTAGTAGTGGCAAGAGACCGGCAAGGCCTTTCCATGTTACAGGCAAGAAGCCTAAGACAGCCAATGCAATCCTCATTCAAGAAGCATGCACTAGTATGGCTAGTTCAGCAAGTGCATATGCTGTCAAGAAAGAAGGAAAATTCACTATTGAAGAAGTGATGAAGGCAGTAATTGAATGTGGTGCTGCGTATGGATCCGATGAACACTACATTGCCACTTCATTGTTTGTCAAGAGGGAGCAAAGGAAGATGTTCATGACCTTACCTACTAATGAAATTAAGAAGAATTGGCTCACTAGAAAATATAATGACAGGCTTGCAAAGTAGGAGTGCTTGTCTCATGTATCCTTTGCTACCTTGATGTGTCGTTTGCTACATTGCTTTGTTTTAAGGCTTGTAATAATTTAGATTATTCCATGTTTGACAATTATTTTTAAGGCTTGTTTTAAGGCTTGTCGTATGAATGAACTCAGATTGTATTATTCCATTTTTTTCCTGGTTTCACAATTATTTGTCCATCAGCTTGTCACATGGTTGACCTTATTTTTTCTATAATTTGACCTAGGGTTCACAGATGTCTTCAAGTGAAAGTGGTGACAGTAGTGATGATGACGATCAATTTTTTTCTCTCATTCAAGGTGGTGCAAATCTTGCTAAGGCTTATGTGAGCCTTTATATGGACAAGGCACCACCAAGGATATCACAGCTGAGTGGAATGGGATGGGTGACTGAGACCCTAAACACTCCAGGAGAATGCCACAGAATATTTCGGATGAATGAGCGCATCTTTCTGGATCTTCATGATAAGTTGACTACTCGTTATGTTTTGCAACCATCCAAGTTCATAGATACTTATGAATCACTAGCAATATTTTTATTTATATGTGGTGGATGTGAGACAAATAGAAAAGGGCAAAATAGGTTCAAGCATTCTGGTGAAACCATTAGTAAGAAATTTCATGAAGTTCTTGATTGTGTGATTGCAATGGCTAAGGATTACATAAGACCAATTGATCCCAATTTTCGGTCAGTTCACAAGAGAATTAGAAATGACAAAAGAGCATGGCCAAATTTCAAAGATTGCATAGGAGCACTAGATGGAACTCATATTCTAGTGTCTCTTTCACCTGAGGAACAAGTTAGATACATTGGAAAGTCAAGAGTTCCTACTCAAAATGTGCTTGCCATTTGTGATTTTGATATGCGTTTCACATATGTGTCTGCGGGGCAACCGGGGGCTTATCATGACACAAGTGTACTGTACCATGCAATGGAAGTGGATAAGCAGGCCTTCCTGCATCCTCCTGAAGGTAAAAAAATAACTTACATTTTGCATGGTCAATTATAACTCGAATTCTTATGCTATTTTTTCATATCCGCAGACAAGTACTATGATGTGGACGCGGGCTATCCTAATCGTCCAGGTTACTTATCTCCATACAAGGGTGAAAGATATCATTTACCAGAGTGGCATCGAGGTATGGAACCAAATACTCCAACAGAAAATTTCAATCGGATTCATTCATCTGTTCGTAATGTGATTGAACGTTCATTTGGACTATTAAAGATGAAATGGCCAATTCTTTATAAGATGCCCCATTTTTCCATGCTAACACAAAAGAAGGTTGTAGCTGCATGCATGGTCGTCCACAATTTCATACGTGAGCATGCTAGTGGGGATGTGGACTTTGCTAGATTTGATCGAGATCCGAACTTTGTGCCAACTATCCCGGAAAGGTACAACAAGTA